ACAGACTTAAAACGCAGAGTTGACCACAACAACAGGGTTAGAATCCAAAAAATAAATCAAACAAGTAAATAACAGGGTGAAAATGCGGTAAAAATCAGACGGGGGCTTTTCTTTTTCTGGATTGCTTTCAAAACTGTTGGTTGGGTTTAGGGAAGTTGGTGGGCGTTGGTCAATCATGATTTTAAAAACACTATCGGTTGGGTTTAGGGAAGAAGGTGGGTCAGTCGATTGGTCAGCCAGTCCGTCAACAGCGGCCTCTGGTGGATTTACACGAGAACAGCAGGAGTGAATGGCACTCGCGAGAGAAGTTTGAGATCTGAAAAAGCATACACAATGGATTCGCAAAAACAAAAACTGCAAAAAAAATGTAGCTCCTGGGACATATTTGGCGCTCTTCAGAAATGTATTTAGGGCCTTCTGAACTTTATTCAATCATTTTTATAAATCCAAAAACCCTAAAAGAATTATAATTTAACACCAACATATGTGGCAGCACAACTGTTTTAAGCAACTGTTTTAAGCACTGATAATAATAATAATAATAATAATAATAATAACAAATGTATCAATCTACGGTTAATTTAAGTTCCAATGATATTTGTTTAATAGTTTTTACTGTATCGATCAAATAAACCCAGCTTTTGTAAACATATGGCAACGAATAAATAGTTTTACCAACCCTTAATTGTTGAACTAATTATTATTTCTTGAGTATTTTCAATGCTTTGGGCATACATTTAACAGTAGACCTATGAGTTTGTGTCTAACGTTAAAGAAAATCTACTATTTTGGTTATAAAGCATCAGCTGAGGAAACAAATAAACTCACCTTTCTGCTTCATTTCTTCACGTAAACTAAAATATCTTACCAAAAACTTCACATCTGAAAGCATGATATGACGTTCATCAACATCTTCATGTTCACTTGTGTGTCTGTGTTAAAATAAAATGAACAGAATCTTCAAAAATAGGCTCCAAAAAAACGGAGAGAGCTGTGTTTATATTTAATCGAATCTTCAAACCGAATCATTTGTTTTGAATCACTGATTCGGATCTTGAGTCAACTGATTTCAGCTAACGAGGCTTCGTTGCGTCATACTGATTCTAACGGTGGCTTTAAAATAATAATAACATTCAGATGGTGATTTTTCTGGGGGTAGATGCACAAGTGCTGATCTTAAGCCAGGTTTGTAATATAGCATATATTTTTGTATTAATTTAATGATTATTTTAATCTAAATATTGGTTTGCCAACACACAAAACAAGGTTACAACTGAGGCAGCACATTTCACTGGAATATCATTTGTATTACGGTAATATGGCGTATTTGTAGGTATTTAATTATTTGTAATGTAGCTTTGTAAGATGTAGTTTGGGGTTTTCGTTGCTTTTCCAATGCGTTTCAGTCAGTTGGTTACAACCAATCAGAATCCTCCATTTAAAAAAAGCGCGCGGTTATATTGTTTTCTCCTTTAAATATGAAATTATAGTGGATTATTTTCCATATTTTAAAAGCTGGATAGAGATAAAAGGCTTACAAAACACCACAGTCTGGTGGCACCTCCCAGCAAACACCACACATGAAAAATACCATAGTAATTAATAGTAAATACAGTGTTTTTGAGAATATAACGTACATTAATTAATCAGTTAAGGTAATTCAAAGTTGCCATGGCAACACAACAACAATAGTAATATAAACAAATGAGCCAATACTGTTGTTTTCTACAAATATAGGCTATAATACTACACCACAGTTTACTGTAGTAAAAACTAAAGTATACTACAGTATTAATTTCAGTTTATCAGTTGACTCTAGTTAATACTATAGTATGCTACAGCTTTCATTACTAAAATGGTTGTAAATACTACAATATTTAGCCTACAATATAATACACTTTACTATAGCACGGTTCAAAACACACTACAGTAATAGCTATAAATATAGTTCCCATATAGTTCACGTTTGGTTATTTTTGCAAACCAAATAAGAAAATTCTAAGAATATTCTCTGTTGGGTTTTTGTTTTTGGTCAGATAGTGTATTTGTGTTTACTGTGGTTTAACTATGTTTTTCTCCTTTTATTTTAGAGGGGTAATTTACATCATGGGAAATTATCTATTTTATTATAACGAACGGGGGCTTGTAACAGCCATATCACCCTGCAGCCCAAGAGCCGGTTGGATGGTCAGTACCTGGATGGGAGACCACGTTGGAAAACTAGGTTGCTGTTGGCAGTGGTGTTAATGAAGCTAGCAGGGGGCGCTCAATCTGCAGTCTGGGTGAGTCTTATTGTCCCAGTGTAGTGAAGAGGACATTAAACTGTCTTTCAGATGAGACATTAAACCAAAGTCTTGACTATCTGTGCTCATTAAAAAAATCCCATGACACTTCTCATGAAGAATAGGGGTGTAACTCCGGTGTCCTGGCCAAATTCCATCCATCATGGCCTCCCAATCACCCCCTATCACTGAATTGGCTCTATCACTGTCTCCCCACTCCACCTGTAGCTGGTGTATGGTGAGTGCACTGGCGCCGTTGTCCTGATGCTTCTATCATCCAAGTGGATGCTGCACACTGGTGGTGAAGTGGAGAGACCCCCTCATGATTGTGAACCACTTTGGGTGTATGGCCATACACAATAGATGAGCTATATAAATACTATTAATGCGACAATACAGTTAGCCCACTGTTTAATACATACCTCGGTTTTTTAACATGGTTTTCGGTTCGGTTCTCTTGGCTTGACACGTGTTATTTTATCCTATAGGCAATATAAGGAGATAAAAAATGTAAACGATTTATTGCAATACTCATTTTGTTTTACTTAAAGCCAAGAAAAGTACACTAGATCCTAGTGTATTGTATAAAAAATAACACTGAAATCTCGCAGCTGCTGGCAGCACTGAAAAAAGTGTTGCATGCAGAACTGTTGCAAACAATTTATTTGTGTTGAATTTAAACAAACAAATTAAATTGAATAATGTTCAACTTAATTTGTTTGCTTAAATTCAACACAATTAAATTGTTTACAACCACTTTATTCAATTCAATTCAGCTTTATTTGTATAGCGCTTTTACAATGTAGATTGTGTCAAAGCAGCTTCACATAAATAGCCATAGTAACTGGAACAGTGTAGTTCAGTTTTTTTGTGTTTAAGTTCAGTTCAGTTTAGCTCAGTTCAGTGTGATTTAAAAATCATTACTGAGAGTTCAAACACTGAAGAGCAAATTCATACACTGAAGAGCAAATTCATTCTTAACGTAAACAAATTGAGTAAATCCAGGGAATCATCTTTGAATATTTTTTTTCAGTGTACAAACTGTGGAACACATAAAATCCTCCACTTTGAAAATAAACATACATTTAATTTAAAGTTAATAAATTTGCCATTTCAAATGAACATATTTGTACTTCAGTAAACATAAATAAACCATCTTAATTATCTCGGTGCTGAATAAATGCGAGACTGTAGTGTGTAACGCGAATCGAGTGCTTTTATAAGATGGCAAAAGCCCACATCTCCAATCACCGAAAACGGCTGCAAATCTTTAGCATTAACACCCGCACTGCCTTTGTTATTTTATGTGTCTCTCGGAACCAGTTCAGTACGTTTGCTGGAAAGATTCAGCAAGGGATTGTTGCTATTTAGAGGACTTTATCACCTTCTCTGCTATCTGCCTTCAGACAGTGATTTTGCTGGGTGACGGCGCTGCAGATGTGCAGTCATGGATATACGTGTAAAACAATGCCTGCGCACAGTTATTTTTTGTTCACCGTTTTTCTTTTGTTTGTATTATACTTAACGGCAAAACCGAAATGTCCTCACACCGCAGATTAGAAAGACGCTGATCAGGGCCGGAGTGGGACTCCTTTTCAGCCCTGGAGTTTCAAGCCTCAGACCGGCCCACCTCAGTTCACGACTGACTATATTAAAATAAGGTAATTTCCAATTCAGTTTCTAATTACACTATCACGTCTTTTTTTGAGAAAACAGCTGCTTTATAACTTAAAATGATCAACAACCCTAACAGTATTATATGTCTTAACAATAAAAAAAATAAAAAATAACATACTCAGACGAGGATCAAACCCGTGTCAGCAGCGTCATACTCTAACGTGCTAACCACTGGACCACAAGAGCTGTATATTGAAGAGTGACTCATCTGAGTTATATCATCATAAACCTGCAGGCTGGTTATATATAAAAAGAGCAGAGCTGCACTAAAATAATGAATAAGAAGACTGTGGTCAAGTAAATAAATTAATTAATTTAAAAAGTGTGACTGCTGAGAGCAACAGATTATGGAGCAAGGGACACTGGCCCTCGCGGCCAAAAAACGGACCGGCCCACCGGGAATTCTCCCGGTCCTCCCGATTAGCCCATCCGGGCCTGACGCTGATGCTTTCTCGTACTGTTGCCTCACTTCGCTGGCGCTTCCTTGTACTGTTGCCTCAGCCTCACTTCACCGCCGCTCACAATGTTAAAGTGTGGAATGATGGTCAAGCGCCGCCTAACTTTAGAGCATAGTGATTGGATATTTACTCGCGGGGAGGAGTTTCCTCATCTCAGCTCATGGACTTACAGGCACACACAGTCAATTCAGGGAGATTTAAAACGCACATAAATATTTTAAACGCCAAACCGAGAAATTCACAAGTGCGTATTGAACCGTGGAGGTCGTACAGATCGGTTCAATATTATATTGAGAACCGTGGCATCCCTAATAAATACACATTACTTACTTACTTACACTCTTTATTGCACTTTCGTTGCTTTGATTGCTTCGACTGTTTGTAAGTGGCAATGGATAAAAGCATCTGCCTAATGAATAAGTGTCACGTACATCAAAGTAATTGCATCCTAATGTGAAAATCCAGAGTGTGTTTTTTCAGCTTTCCATAACCTCTGGCCAACAACAAGACAGATTATGAGGGCTTTGGATCAGAGCTGAAGTGCATTTGTGCTGACGGCAGGGGAAAAACACCGACACCAGACCAGAGTTTAATCTTTTTTCTTTTTAATTTTGAAATGATGTTTTCCTCCTGTGGCAGGTTTAATGCTTTATTCAGAACTCTTTACATAATGAACATGAACGTGTTCAGAATTAAGGTGCAAACATCAGCAAACACAAAAGAACTTCCCGGGTCGGCAGAAGATCATTTCATTAGCAACATCCTCTACGAAATACAGGCAGACATCTTTATTCTCGACCCCTTGTTTTCTCTCCTTGACCTTGGACGCCCAACCCCCCTCTGTTGCTGGTGCAGCTCCACTAATGGAAGACTTCTCATAAACCCAGCTGATTGGCCCGTATATACTGATGATCTAACCAATGAGCAGGTAGATCACATTTAAAGGGGAAGGAACCTGTGCTCAAGCGACCAATCAGAAACATCGAGCGACAGCTTCCTTATTATTTTGCTGAATCAGGGAATGTGGCTGCGTTCAGAATAGCATACTAGCACATCTCACTCCTTCTGCAGTATATAGTACGCATACTCTGCACAGTATGCAGGACGAGAAACTACATTTACCTAAATCTGAGCAGTCATTTACATTTATTTATGAAGCACTTTATACACTCTCAAAGCAGCTTAAGCGAGGAAAAATAAATCGTGTTGCTGTGATTTCATCAGTAATGAGACATATTCAATTGTTTTTGTACCCCGACAGTGTCATTGCTCAGCTATCCCACAATGCAATGCATTCAACCTTTCATTTACAGTGCGAAAAATGATCTTTATTGTTATTATTTGACAGGACGTCTTACACAAAATTGGATTAAGCATGCAAAACAGCGTTATTTAACAGATGTATAACATCTGCCGGATGACCCATGCAACACAGTGATACTACTATTAAAATGTGCACCGTTTCACATACTATTTTATTTAAGAAAGGCAGTAAATAATAGGCAGTATTCAGTATATACTGTGCAGTGAGCAGTATGCTAGTATTCCTCCTTCCGAACACAGTCGAGTAGTGATTAAAAAAACGCTGAGTGAAGGAAAGCCGGGGCAGTATATTCTCAGCAAACACACACATATGTGCGTGCGCGCACACACCGTGTGCTGGTTTAAAGTGGTTAAGTCCAGTTCGGTTACTCAGAGGGCAGTCTGTGCTTTTGGCAGGATAAAAAAATGCAGATCTCCCATTTCAAAAAACAGGAGGCGTGCGGTGAAATGAGGGCATTCCGTTTACTGAGGTTCCGCCACTTCCTGCGACATCATCGTCTTTATGACATCACGTGCTTGAGGTACATTCAAGACACCTTGCGTTATTTCCTTGAAATAAGAGTTCGATGTGGGTTGCAAAATACTCAAAACATTCGCTATGCCGTTCATTGGCTCGCTAGAAATCGTCTGATTAACATATCACCGCCCATATTTACATAAACACACAATCAGCGACTGATGTTAAAGGGATAGTTCACACAAAAAATGTACTTTACTCACTATTTACTCACACTTGAGAGGTTACATACCTTTATGAGTTTTTTGTTTAATGTTTAAACAAACAATTTTTTCATAGTCTTAAAACTTTTTTCACAGGTAAAAATTCAGTTTTGTTGGTTTTACACAAAAGCAGATATTTTGAGCACTCCTGAACTTCCCAAAAGACTCCTAAAACTCCCAAAAGAAATACCCTCATGCATGCATCTCCACGTGATCCAAACAGACTCTTGCAAGACTTTGCATTAAATGAAAAATCATGTCCTGATTTGTTTTTTTAGATAGTCCTAAAACAATTTTACAGGCAAGAATTTAGCTTTGCTTGTATTATACAAAAGCAGATATTTTGAAGACTCCCGAAAGACTCCTGAACTCGCAGAAGACTCTGAAAATACTCCTAAAAACCCTCACTCCTGCATCTCCACGTGATGCGAACAGACTCTTGCCAGACTTTGCATAAAATGTAAAATCATGCATTGTTTTTTACGGAAAAGTAGATGTTTTGAAGTAACCTGTCACCATTAACTTCCGTAGTAGGAAAAAAAACAAACACTATGGTTACCAACACTCTTCAAAATATCTTTTTTTTGTGCTCAACAGAAGAAAGAAATTCAAAAAAGACTCTTTAAAGACTCCTGAAAGTCCAGAAAGGCTCTTAAAACTCCCAAAAGACCCTTAAAGGCTCTCAAAACTCCCAAAAGACTCCTACAACTCCAAAAGTCTTCTAAAACTCCTAAAAGACTCCTGAAACTCCCAAAAGACTCCTAAAACTGCCAAATGACTCCTAAAAGACTCTTAAAAAATTCCTGAAAGTGCAGAGAGGCTGTTAAAACTCCCCAAAAAAACCTTAAAAGACTCCTAAAAGACCTGGAAGGCTCTTAAAACTCCCAAAATTCTCCGAAAGGACTCCTACACTCCCAAAAGACTCCTAAACCTGCCAAATGCTAAAAGACTCTTAAAGACTCCCAAAAGTCCAGAGAGGCTCTTAAAACTTCCAAAAGACCCTTAAAGACTCACAAAAGTCCTGAAAGGATCTCAACACTTTCAAAAGTCTCCTAAAAGACTCCTACAAGTCCCAAAGTCTCCTAAAACTCCCCAAAGACTCATAAAACTCCCTAAAACTGCCAAATGACTCCAAACAGATTCTAAAAAGACTCCTAAAAGTCCAAAAAGGCTCCTAAAACTCCTAAAGGACTCCTACAACTCTGAAATACACCTAAAACTCCCAAAAGACTCTTTAAAAAGTCCCAAAAGGCTCTTAAAACTCCCAAAAGGCTTTCAAAACTCCCAAAAACTCCTAAAACTGCCAAATGACTCCAAACGGATTCTAAAAAGACTCCTGAAAGTCCAGAAAAGCTCCTAAAACTCCTAAAGGACTCCTACAACTCCCAAAGACACCTAAAACTCCCAAAAGACTCTTTAAAGACTCGTAAAAGTCCCAAAAGGCTCTTAAAACTCCCAAAATACTTTTAAAACTCTCAAAAGAAACACCCTTAAGCATGCGCCTCCACGTCACATGAACCATGAAACCATGTCCTGAATTTTTTTTTTCGCATGCTCCAAAAAATAAGGAACCTGTAGCCATTGACTTCCATAGTAGGCAAAGCAAACACTATGGTTGCCAACATTCTTCAAAATATCTTCTTTTGTGCTCAGCTTAAGAAAAATAAGGCTGAGTAAATGATGACAGAACTTAAACCTTTGGTTGAACTATCCCTTTAACCGATCATAACAGTTCATTCACATATAGAAGTCTTAAAGGTACAGTAGCAATCCAGAATTTCATTCGAGGGTCGTAAATGTAGAGTATGAGGGAATAGTAAATATGCTACAGATATTGTAAAAGATGACGTCAGTTTTCATACAGTGGAATGAGATGAAGAAGATTCTGTTTGCAGTCAGGCCACGTGACTATCAGAGCCTATCAGCAGAGCAGTACCTGACCCCTTCAGCCAATCAGAGAGCAGAATTATTCACAAGCCCCTCCCCCCATCCCAAACAGAATAAAAAAGGACACAATCGATGAGGACATTCGATATTAATGAAGTGAGCGACGTATAGCGGTGCGTGAAAGTGCTTTTGGCATTCATAAATCAACGTGTGATCATCGAACATGGCTTAAAGCTCAGACTCCCGAAAGAAACACCCTTCACGAACAGACTCTTGCCAGACTTTGCATAAAATGTAAAATCATGTCCTGATTTTTCTTTTTTTTTCGGATACTCACATTTTGAACAGGCAAGAATTCAGCTTTTTAATTCGTTGTTCACGTTACTTCATTAATATTTTTGTTTGATGTTTGTCGATGCTGAAGTTGCTGTTGTTTGTTCGGGTGTAAGAAAGCATTCAGCTCCAGGGGTCATGTGTGTGTGTATGTGTGTGTGTGTCAGAGTGTGTGTTTGTGTGTACATTTACAGATCAGTGTGTTTGTGTGTGTGTGCGTGTGTGGCTATGAGCCTTCATGATCGGTAGAGTCCTGGTTCAACTCTTTCCTGGTGCTCATAGTGGGAGTTCCTGAGTTTTTCCTGGACCGCTGCTTTTCGTCAATATCATGCAGCGACGGCTCTTTATACATACACACTGAAAAACACACACAAATAAATCTGATTATTTAAACAGCAGTGATGTTTACAACACATTTTTGATTACAGTGAATTGACAGTTGCAGTTTTTTCCTGTTGTGGCCGACGTGTGTTCAACATGCAAAGAAATATGGATAAGAGCAAGGAAGCATGTTTAAAAGGAAAAATTCAGTATAAAACAATTAATGTCGCATCACCAGGCTATCCAGCGTTTCCTCCAGAGTTTCATCTAATTTTGTATGTTTTATTTTTAACTTTATTTAGACTTCTGTTTAAATGTAATTTGATACCGCATGGTGAACGGAAAGAAAAACCTTCGTATTTCAAGACTCGGTGGTCCTTTAAGGTAATCAAAAAATCGCTGTTAACATTGTAGACTCTTAACCAGAGTATTATATTAAACATATTACAATCAGAGTATTGGTGTCCATGTAAAGGTACGCAGTAAAACTCAGATGTTGTTGCGAGCTGTTGCGAGCACCTCCAATGTTTCAGTAAGTTTGACGTGTTTCCTCCTAAACGCAACGAAAGCGTCTGCTTCACATTGCTGTGTCAGAATCCTTGTGAAATACAGCCATACTTAAGAACGCTTAGTTTAAGCAAATTTGATGAACGCCATCATGCGTGTTGAATCTGAAGGGATTCGCTTCTGTATGTCTGTAGCCCCTTTCACACATACAGACCTTTCCGGAAAATTGCCGGCAATTTTCCGGAAAGGTTGTATGTGTGAACAGGTCCTTTTTGAAAATACCGGTAAATTCGTTCTGGCTATTTTCCGGAAAGAGAAGTTGTAACATTACCGGCAATTTGCAGGAATGCTGCGCTGTGTGAATGCAGAAGGAAGTTTGCCGTAATAAGCGCGTGCACGTCTAGAACGTGCTGACGTGAGACGTCTGCTTTAGCCAATCACAACAGTCAGACGCATTTACGTCCGCGCGGTTTGTGAGAATAAAAGCCTTTGAATATTTTTCCAGACACATTTAGCTGCTAGAAGATAGTCAGATCACGTTTATATGTTCTTCTTAATGCCAGCTGTGTAAATAATTATCAATGAGATGCTTATGATAAGCTGTTGTTTGTTTACCTTCAAGCTTTGCGTGTGCCTGTGAAACAGCCTGTGAGCGCCTGCACACGCACATATTATGAACATCTCGACATGCGAAAGTGATCCTGCGAAAGTTGTTCACAATATTGATCATCCACAGAGTTTGTAATTTAGCCAAATGTTTACAAACACAAGCGCAGCCGTTTAAAGCTCATTTGTGGTGAATGATGTCAGAATTTACCGGTATTTTGGAATGGATGTGTGAATGCTCTTTTCCGGAAAAATTCCGTAACGTCCTCGCCTGTGTGAACAGCGCTTTTTTGAACATACCGGTAAAGTCGTTCCGGAAATTTTCCGGATATTTACCGGTATCACTGTGTGAAAGGGGCTTGTGTCTGTGCGCGATTGTGTTTCCTAGCAACAAGAACAAATGCCTAAATGTCGTCGTCCGTATTCCTCAAAGTTGTTTAAATGTTTAGAGATGGTGTGACCAAAGTATCTGTAAGAATAAGTCTTTGGTGTGCCACAACGCGTACCTGTGGGTGCTTATTACATCCTTGTCGCAGCACCAGTGGCAACGAAATTAGGCACCGAAATGCATATGCTGATTCAATGATCCTGCTTGTGAGAGACTGTTCTCACTCTCAGCTCACATCATTCAAAAGAAAAGGTCCACATTGTCCCCCGATAATGTCAACAGACTGGATTGTCTTAGCAACTGTCTGAATGTAAAGGAGGATTAAGCAAAATTGTTTCTACTTTATAATTAATGTTCTCAGCTCACAGCAATACAAATTTACAATGAGTACAATTGTTGGTATTCAATACTTTATTATTATTATTATAATTTTCCATTTTCCATATCTGCAATGCCTGTATTTTGGCATTTTTTGCAGTCCACTTAGAATCCAACATGAAAATAGTTTTTTTTTTATTGGCATTGATTGTTTTGAAATTCAGATGGCATTAACATGCCTGTGTTTTAATTTCTGTAATACATATGGCTGTCAAGCCAGGATCTTGATGGTTTATTGTGGGTATGTTGTTTAAATGAAGAAATCTGTGTGTACAAGTTGAACACAAATTCTAAACAATTATATTTTGAATTTGAATAGTTTTTGTCTTGCGTTTACATTAATTTTACATTTGAATAGCCAAAATGACAAGTTTCAGTCTTTTAAATATGATTAATCGAGATTAATTGCAAAAAAAGGTGCGATTAATTAGTTAATTTTTTTAATCGATTGACAGCACTAATATTATATATATATATATATATATATATATATATATATATATATATATATATATATATATATATATATATATATATATATATATATATATATATATATATATATAT